ACACACACACACACACACACACACACACACACACACACACACACACAGAGCGTGTCCCTGAGACTGTTGCCATGCTGCCTCCATCTTTTCCTGTGAGAAAAAAATGTTTCTTTTCTATGTTCAAAAATAGCTTAATGTTGAAAAAAAGAGTATTTGAAATGATTTGCTTTGGTTGTTGGATATTTTACGACACTCGTTTGTTATTCTAAGCATATGTAGGCCCTATGCAGACTATGGGGCTGTTTTCATTATCGACTAATCTGCTGAAACAGTCACAATTTCCAGATCCTCCAAGGTGACATCAGCTTACTATCCCATCGATCCCTATTTGAGAAGCTTACACAGGAGAATGTCTGGATGTTTAATTGTGAAAAATGAAATAGTCGTTTAATCAATTATCAATATAATTGCTGATTCATTTTCTGTCCACTGACTAATCAGTTAATCAAGTTACCGTTGCAGCTGAGCTCTATGTAATAAAATGACTGCAAATACTCATGTCATGTCTTATTTTCCAGCCTCCTGTTAAAGAGTTTTGAGGTTGTTTATTAGCAAAGTTAGAAAAAAAAGAATATGCACTGTTTCTATATACATGTATTGCACAATTGGGAGTCTTGCAAGATGGTCAAAATCAAAGCTTGAGAGGCAAAGATATCCAGACTTACAATCTCCTGGCGTATGAGTCCAGCTCCAGACAGGTGTCTGTCATTCAAGATAATTAAAACCTACATTTAATGAATACAGTGTTACATTCCAAATGCACAGTACTTTTTTAACACTCACACGTCCAAGTCTGCAATTATACAACCGTCTTCAGATGTCCAACAATTTGATCGCTTGAAAGTCTTACATTTTTCCAATCTCTGCAGAATCAGACCCTCCCTGCCTCGTAAAACACCCATATCTTTCAAAAGTCCGCTCAGTAACGCAGGCTGTCATGGGTATTAGCGTCTCCAGAGCCACAGAAAGACCTTATACAACTGTTTGCAAAGGCCAGATAGTACTCACGATGACAAATACACTGATCTTCAAGTGTAAAATCTGTAGAGTGCCCCTTTTAGTGTCAACTTTGTTTTTTAAATGGACTCCACAAAGACATGATCAACCCTGCAGGTCTTCCAATCTGACTAGCGACAGCAGCAGTAACACGTTTGAATGATCAGATGTGCGTTTGAGAGTCAGTTTGCAAAAACATCCCTGACATGATCAACAACTGTCCCCACTGCCAAAAAGACTCCAAGTGTTTGGACTCATGCCCGGGGTAAATGTGCCCCCCCCTCCTCATCCTCCTCTTGACCGCGACCCTCCAGCTTCCAAAATTAAATCTGAATCTGAAAGGTCATGGTGCCATCTATCCCAAGTGATGATCACACTGTCATTGAAGATATAGCTCATTAGTTAAATTTACAGGTAAGGACTCGGTGAATGTTGAGCAAGGTAAACTTCTACCTTGCCAGCTCTTCTGCAGGAAGGTTCTTGAAAATGTATGACCCGGAGGTTAACTAGCCTCAGGTGTACCACAGTTATGATTGCATACAGTGGTGTTGAAATGGGCATCATAGATGTTAGTGAACAGCCAGAGCTCAGAGTTCAAAGCATGCTGCTCGTAGTCAGTAGCCTATTGAGCGGATTGCTGTTTTGCACCTTCCTGAGCCCAATGAGCTCATCCCCAGCCGGCATGAGGCCAATTAAATTCTATTTGATGCCTTTATCTGTTTGCAAAGTAACAAATCCGCTTCACATACAGGTGGCCGTTTCTTCGGTGTTGGCAACTAAATGATTAAACTTCAATGTGCAGTTCGGAAATGTTTATCTCCTCAGCTCAGAGGCTGAATGTGTAATGTGTTGCCTGCAGTCTTTCACCTCAGCTAAACATTTTGGGTTGATCAGCAACTATTAGCAATTCAGACAAGAACATCAATAGATGTTGCAGATTAGGTCCAATTTTACATCATTTTTCCACACCTGCACATGGTGACTACAGCGGTTAAATTCAGGGAAATATAGTGGTTACAGCAAATAAACTATTGTTACGGTATGGTTAGGGTCAAAAGTTGGACTCTTACTTCCTGCCCTGTTTCCTGAATAGCACATTATTTCCTGCATTGGTACTGAGCAGCGCTGATGGACATAAATTGCATAGCATGAACCATTGCACCCCTCCCACAATGGTCCGTTAAGATACACTATACTCAACACTAGATACATACGAATCAGATCAAAACACAAATAATAGTGCCATGAAATCACCATGTCGCTCACGGACAAGCACCAGCTCATTTATGACCACATCACCGTTAAAACCGGTTTCAACTGGAGTTTGAAATGCTTCTAGTAATGATCCTTTTTAAATTCTTAAGTTGAAATCCCGAGATGTGGAATCATCCAGCATGGTCATACTGAGCTGAGATTAGAGAAGTGGGCTTGTGGCGTGAGGGAGGTCATGTGTCATGACGGGAGCAGTCCATCACCATTGTGTTACCGCCATCAGTGTCTAAACAGATGTTTATTTAAATGAAAATCTTCGAGAATGCCACTTTAAAGGAGCACGATACGAGAGAGCGTTTCAATTGCCTCTCAACGGCTGTCAGCGTGGTGATGGTGAGCCGGCGCTGGGACAACAACAACACACACGGAGGGAGAGGTCCTTCATTCTCTGCTCAGGAAGACATTACTCAACTATACATTTAGCCAGTGGCGGGCCGTGCATTTTATACCTAGGCCTTCACTGTTGTCCTGCAGCTGAAATACCGCCTTATAACCACATGATGGCGCCACAGTTACTATTAGTTTCTAAGGCTGTAAAACTATGTACGTATTAAATGTACGTACCTATGTACGTACCGTTCGGTACGAGACTTGCAATACGTTTGAATAGTACTAGAGCATCTGGAAAATGCAGAAGCTTATATTCAGGAAAACAATGTTTTCTGCGCTCATGGAGGACAGTTGTTATCAGCTGGTCTGGCTGTGGGACCCACCATCATTCCTTAATGACAAGTTGCGGCCCAAAGAGATCGTCTTATGATTTTACTTTCACAACTTGAAAGTTGAACGTACTCTTTCCTCGTCTCAGCCCCCTGTGTCATGGTGTGTGGTACATCTTACTCGGGTCAGAATGCCCATATTTGATTGGCTGAGCTGCATCACGTTATGTGATTCACTACCCAACTAAGCCTCTGCTGTTAAGTTTCGTTTCACGATAGTCACGTGCTCACCGACTGACCAATCACAGCGCACTCTGCACCTCGCGGCAGAGCTGTACATGGACACTGAGCTGCACGTAATGCTGACGTCATTATAGGCCGGCTAGCAGGCGCTGACACGTCAAAGAATACGCCCAACGTGTCAAACTAAAGATCTGATTGGTTGAAGAATATGACAATCAATAATATTGTCCTCATTCACTTAAACTGCACATGGATGCACTTGTGAGTCTGCAGGCCGGGGCCTCTCTTCTAACCTAGAGACACAGAGGTGAAATCTGATTGGATAAAAGCTCTACTTAAAACAAGCTGCACTGGAAGCAGAGCAACTGAGGAAGACAGTAGCTGTGCAATGAGAAAATAAGATTATGGGGAAAATATTTGTATAAATTACAATACATGTAGTGTATTTAAGAAAAATTATTAAATTATAAAATAGATATAGCTTTGTGATTCTGTTTAGGCCAGCAGAGAAGGCCTTGCAGGCCCTGATGGCCCGCCACTGCATTTAGCTCATAGTTAGCTGCTATATTAATGCTCTGGATGCTAAATACAGCCTCTTTAAACTGACTTCAGACACTTGATAACTAAACATGACTGAGGACATTCAGCTCTACTTCATTCCACTGTGCTCAACTCCACTCAAACAAATGACATAGTATCCTTATGCCATCTGTGCCAGTTGGCAGAGCCATGATGAAGCTCCAGTTAAACCCAGATGGCAGCACCGGGACTCTCCAAGATTGACTGAGTTTAACAACAGTCTGGGAGGAAACAGGAAGCTGGCCAGCCAGTCACTCTGTCACTCTACAAGTCATCTCCATCTCTTTCTCCCTCCCTGTTTCCTGGGTCACCTTGAGGATTGTCCAAATCCAGAGTTGATAGGACACCAACTGAAACATTCAAGTGTTTACTTCCAGGGATACAACTTCCTGAAACTGAATTTGAAAAGGTTTACATCGCCTGTTTAATCACGGCTGCAACAATTTAGAGGGGCCTTGGTGTATAGAAGAAGTTTGACTTTGAAACAATCAAACCTTTAGTTTTCGTACAAAAACGTGAGATACTTTTATAAAATGGTCGACGGCACAAAC